GGGGGGAAGCAGGGAGTCTAAAGGAAACTGAAGGATGAGAAAACATGAGCTCCAAACACGTGACAGGGAGTGTTTTTGAAGATCAGGCGCAGCAGTCTGTGTGTTAACGTCAACCCCTGCTTTGTGTGAGCTGGTCTGTTAGCAAAATATTTCATGTACTAATGGGCAGGTTTTAATAAAATTCAGAAAGTAAGCACTGAATTCAGAATAGAATTCAAAGTCTTACTTCTAACCTACAAAGCTCTCAACAACCTAGCTCCATCTTATATTACAGATCTTATTGTTCCATATTTTCACGACAGAGCACTTCGCTCTCAGACTGCAGGTTTACTTGCGGTTCCTAGAGTTTCCAAAAGCAGAATGGAAGGAAGGTCTTTCAGTTATCAGGCTCCTCTCTTGTGGAACCAACTTCCAGTTTCTGTCCATGAGGCTGACACATTGTCCAGTTTTAAGACTGGACTTAAAACTTTCCATTTTGATAAATCCTATAGTTAGGGTTGGCTTGCTATGCTGCTATAGGCTTATAGTACTACTAGAGGACAAATTGACCTCATTTCCTTAAATGAATTGTTAAAATTGAATGGTTTTCATTTGATACTATTTCTATCTCAACATGTGATTCTCGACCTGCCATTGTGTATCTATTCCTCCTTTCTGTTTCTCTCAAACCCAGCCAGTCGAAGCAGATGACCGCTTGTCCTGAGCCTGGTTCTGCTTAAGGTTTCTTCTTCATGAGGGAGTTTTTCCTTTCCACTGTCGCCTTCATGCTTGCTCAAGATGAGAGTTTTGCCATGAAGTTAAACTCAAAGCAGTCTGCTCTTCAGATAAATAATGTTGTTAACTATGAATGTTTCTGTTCAGTGCCCTGAGACGACTTCTGTTGTGACTTGGTGCTTTATAAATAAACTGAATTGAATTGAACAAATCTACAGCTAATTCGTTTTTGGAGTCAGCTTGACATCAAGATAGCTGCTACAACTAATCAACCTTAGCACAAACATGGCTACAACACATTTACTTTTACAGGTATTGAGCTCAAATCTGGTGTGGTAGTAGCTGAAACTCATCCCCAACTCAAAGACCAAGCTCTAACAGGTCACACAAAATCTTAGTTTAAAACGACATTTCTTTAAAGATTGCTGGTTTAATTTTTATGAATAAAAACTTGCTGTAGGAAACCAAAACAGCGTGTGAGATCATTTGGATTCTTTAATTTAAAGTCCAGGCCAGTAGCGCAGCAGCTGGAGACCTAAAACACAAAAACAAAACTTCGGCTGCATCACTTCGAGCGAAGCCTGTCATGTCGTCTGCGACGTGCCGAACCCCAGAGCTGCTGTTTTATCTGAGCAGCTCAAAGATGTCAGAGCCTCTGTGTGTGTGTGTGTGTGTGTGTGTGTGTGTGTGCGTTTGAGTTTTGTTTGTGTCTTTGTGTGTGACCTTGAGCAGCACTCAGGGATTATTGAGATTTGGAGCAGAGGCAGAGACGACGGGGGTGACAGTCGAAACGCAGCGACATCAGTCTGCTCGGAGGCAGCAGACTTGTTGGCAGGTCGGGTCGTCGGTCGTGACGGGGGCCGTGGGGCGCGTGCTGATCAGTCGCAGAGCTCTGCTAATGCACTTAGAGACTCTCCTTCTTGTTTATGTTTCTAACTCTTCACTGAATGTCCTAACACTGATTTTGAACTTTTTATTTTTGCATAATCAGCATCTCACTCATCTCTATGTTAAACAATATAAACAAACGCTCTGGTGTTAAAAATGTATTACAAGAATGTTTGTTGTGAGAAAAATACAAAGGTGTTTGTGTCGTTTTTTACCAACCTGCACGTCTGTCTGTCTTTTGACAAGATACCTCATGAACTTCTGAATTAATTTTAATGAAACTTTCAGGAAATCATTAAATTCACATCTACAACTACATAACGTTTGGAGCCAGCCTAATTCAAGATGGCCGCCACAACCAATGACCTTAGAAAACACAAACATGTCTATAATTCGTACAGTTTTACAGATACTGAGCTAAACTTTAGCATGGTGGTAGCTGAGACAACTACAGCGTCTTTGTCAAGCCTTCATTTATTCACATGCAACTTTATTTAAATGTTTTTAAAAATTAAAAACAAAAATTGTTTGCAGTTCAATTTAACTTATGTTGCTGTTTTGAACACAAAAGCAGCTTAAATAGCCTAATAAAATAAATCTGACAAAACTAAAATGTGCAAAGAAAAGATAAAAATTATTAATAAAAAAATCCAGAGAAATTGCATTTCGTCTGAAAATGCAGTGTGAATGCTTATTGCAGAAGAACTTGGTGAAAAACAGCTGCAATGAGCTAAAATGTATTCTAAAATATGGCTAAAATGGAAGAACAATACTAATTTAGCAGAAGAAAGCATGAAGGAAACATATTTGCTGAATTGGGTTTCAATGAGCAGAAATGAGCACAGAAATTAGGAAATTAACAGTAGCTAAAAAAAAACCCCTGAAAATACCAAAAATGCTGAAAAATAGCTGAAAAGGCAGAAAGAAGCTTTAACTACCAGAAGGAGGTGGAAGGAGCTTAAATGAGTTCAAGAAATGTGGAATTACCTGCAAAAGCTTAAAACAGCATCAAAACAGCTAAATAGTAGCTGAAAGAGCAGAAAAAGCTGAAACTAGTAGACAGAAACTGAAATTAGCATAAAGAAGTTAATTAGGCTGAAAGTAGCAAAAATTACCATGAAAAACTTGAATTTATCTGAAAACAGCTGAAATTAGCTAGAAGAATGTAAAAAAAAAAAAAAAAAAAAGGTAGCTGAAAAGGTGGATCAAGCTTAAATTAGCAAAAGAAAGCAGAAAGACCACATTTGCTCAATTAGGCTGAAAGAAGCAAAAATGAGAACAAAATAGTGGAAATCATCCGAAAAAAAGCTGAAATGGGCAAAACAGCTGAAAAGTAGCTAAAAAGGCAGAAAGAAGCTGACATTCCCGTAAGTGGAGAGAGCGCATTTTTGCTGAATTAGGCTGAAACGGGTTTAAATGATTGCATAAAATGTGGAAATAGCTGAAAAAAATTAGCATAAAACAGCTAAATAGTAATAGGCAGCACGGTGGCGCAACTGGTAGAGCTGCTGCCTCTCAGCGAGCAGGTCCCTGGTTCAAACCCCGGTCCGGGGGCCTTTCTGGGTGGAGTTTGCATGTTCTCTCCGTGCATGCGTGGGTTTTCTCCGGGTGCTCCGGTTTCCTCCCACAGACCAAAAACATGCATGTTAGGCTGATTGGTAACTCTAAATTGTCCCTAGGTGTGAGTGAGAGAGTGAATGGTTGTTTGTCTTGTTTGTCTCTATGTGTCCCTGTGATGGACTGGAGACCTGTCCAGGGTGTACCCCGCCCCTCGCACAGTGATTACTGGACATGGGCACCAGCGACCCCCGTGACCCAAAATGGAATAAACGGGTAAAGAAAATGGATGGATGGATGGACAGCTAAATAGTAGCTGAAATAACAGATAAAGCTGAAACATTCAGAAATAAGCTGAAAGGAGCATAACAAGCTGAAATTAGCAGAAATAAGTTAAAAAAACACAAAGATGTCAGCAGAAATATTCTGAAAAGAGCACAAAACAGCTGAAATTAGCTGCAAGTAGCTGAAAAAATGTTTAAATTTGCACAAGGAAGCTGAAAGAAGCTGAACCAAAACCAAATGTGAAAGGAACTGTAAAAGGTTGTAAACACATCTAAATATTTGAAGAATGGAAAATTAGATCAGTTCATTTTCTTTGAGGAAAAAAAAATAGCAGAAAAGGCTAAATATTTCAAAAAGCTAAAGTTGCACCAAAACTAAAAACCATAACAGGATTGTCCTGAAAGAGCTGAACATTTTGATAAATAATTTTTTGAAATAGCACAAAATGTGGGGAACAAGAAAGACGCCACAAAATGTACGGAAGCAAAATGGATCATAATGATGTGAATGCTTCATAAACATTCACACAACAATGACGTCATCATTCTTTCAATGAACGAGATCACCCGCTGACTTTCATTACAGAGCCTTCATGGTCAAATCTTGAAATAAAAATTTTGACTACCAAATATTCATCTAAAGAACCTACTTGTACAATTTCTGCCTTCATTTCTTTTCCTTTACTGCTTTATTCAGAACTCGGAGGTTCAGAAGAAACAGCAGCCGTCTCCACATGTTCATTTGAAGTTTCTTGTTCATTTATCCTGATTTTTGTTTTATCTCTTTCCAGATATCAACATGGCCGGAGAACCCAAACCGTACAGGCCCAAGATTGTCTCCAAGAGACCCCTGTCGTCCCTCTACAGGTTGGCAAGCAGCAGTTTGTAATGTTTTTTACTTCTCTGTTCACCCGCTACGATTGATGAGCAGCATGTTTGGCTTCTTACTTCACTACTGCGTTATCTTTAATATTGTTGTATGGTTCACATACAACCAGATTCGGAGAGCTATCCAACTTTGCAAATGCAACATCTTAAAAACAAACGTTAAAAAATGACAAATATAAACTGAACATTCATTCAGAAAAGCACAAAACAAGAACAACACAAGAAAACACTCAAGAAGTGAGGACGTTTTCATAGTTAACAATAATAATAAGGAACCTGTTAAGTTTTATTAACTCAGCTCCTCTGAAGTTAAAAGAAATGTGACCAACACATCAAACCAAGGGTTATTAAGTCAGATTTGGTCAAAATGAACAAAGAATATATTTTTTCAGATTTCTGCTGTTTTAAGCTTCATTCTGATACTGAGCTCATCTGCATGCTTCCAGAGATATGGCTGATTGGGTAAACCCCTGGAAAACGGGTCTGAACCCCATTTTTGGTTTATTCTAATGAGGATTTCTTGATGTAGTTTGAAAGGGGAAACCTCAAACCATATTTAATAATCAGAATTTCCCAACTATAAAGAAAACTAACTTGGCTAGTGTGCAGAGAAAGTTGTGAAAATCCAAGGCTGTTCTGCTCAAAGTCATAGTTGTTGGTTCAATGGCCCTGAGGTGTAAATAAACAACATTTGAAAAAACAGAATTACATTTGAAAAACTCAATTACATTAAGCCAAACCGGAAGTGGTGGTTTTTGTGTGTGTGTGTGTGTGTGTGTGTGCGTCTTTTTTTATTTACTTTATTAACAACAGAACAATGTATAGTACACACACACAACAGTTAGCAGGCTAGCCTTTAGCCTCTAGAAATGGAGGGCTATGATTTGTTCAAGCTTAAAGAAGATATGATGCCGGAAAAACTCAACAGGATCTTCAAGGTAATTAAGTTTTGTTGACATACATTTTAGTTTTACATTTTAGTTTTACATTTTAGTTTTACATTTTAGTTTTACATTTTAGTTTTACATTTTAGTTTTACTGGCACGGCATTAGTAATATTGTGTACATACCATGATCAAACGATAAAATTAACATGAGGCGAGCCCCCAGATTTTGCAAACTATAAATAAATACATTTGGCCACAGAGAACCAACCTAGCCTGTGCTAGTTAGAAAACATTAGCAAATGTACCAGTGATTAGCCATTTTATTTGATTTGTTGTACATCCTAAAATAATTCAAGTCTCTTCAGTTTTAACTTTTACCGGGCAAGTCCTTAGATAAACCTTTGTAATCTGTGCTCACATTTAATCTGCCAGTCACAACAAATCATAATTTAATAAATCGGTTGCATGATTTAAATTCAAAGTAATTTTTAACTATCAATAACAACATTTATTTTGTTCTGACTTATCTTCTTCTTTAAGCTTAAACAAAACATAGCTTTCTATTTCTACAGGCTATACTGTACATTGTTCTGTTGTTCTGTTTTATATTGTTAATAAAGTAACCCCCCCCACACACACACACATCACTTCCGGTTTGGCTTAATATGATTCAGTTTTTTCAAATGTAATTCCTTTTTTTTCCCAAATGTGATTCCGACCACTTCGGCCACTTCCGCTTTGGCCGCTTCCGCTTTGGCCACTTCCGCTTTGGTCGCTTCCGCTTTGGTTACTTCCGCTTTGCTCACTTCCGCTTTGCTCACTTCCACCTTGGCTTAACGTAATTCCGTTTTTTCAAATGTTGTTGTGTTTGTGTTGTTTATGTTGTTTTTAAAAAAAAAGTAATTCTGTTTATTCAAATGTTGTTCATTTACACCTCAGGGCCACCGTAGGATTTCTTCACGCCATTTGAAAGAGGAAACCTCAGACCATACTCGGTTATCAGAATTTCCCAACTAGAAAGAAAACTAGCTTCGCTAGCGTTCAGAGAAAGTTGTGAAAATCTAAGGCTGTTCTGCTCAAAGTCATAGCTGTTGATTCAATGCACTGTAGCTGCCTGCCCTGCGATTTAATCCTCGGTTCAATGTTACGGGTCACATATGTCAAAATGCAAATAGAAACATTAACATTTATTTATTTAAACTTTTATGGATGATTTTGAGGTTTGGCCAAGTGTTTGGTTGAAGCTAAACATTCTCAGTTTTACCACACAAACAAAAACATGAAGTTTCTTTGGATAAAACTTCTAAAAATAAATTAAAAAGGTTTCTCACTTTCTTCAAGTCTCCACTAAACGCATTAGAAAGTCTTTGTACTGTATTTTGTTTCAGTCACCGTTGAACGGAGGTTGGACCCATCAGTGCAGTCTGACTCGAGGAGCTAAAAAAAAACAACAACTTAACATTAATTTAGAACAAAACAAACTGCTTCTAAACTTACAAGAACGGAGAATCGGCACGTGGTTTGAAGCATCCTCCGTGCTCTGGAAGGTGAAAATGGATGAGACCTGAGGGAATAAAAAGATCAGGGCTGATGAGTGGAGTGTCTGCAGCTGAGACAGAAGGAGATGGGCGTGGCAGACTGACTGGAAAAGTACTGTCTGAGGGAGAAGTGGCGCAAAAAACAACAAAGACAGATCAAATGAAAACACAAGTAAGAACTGAGCATGACAAAACTAAAAGGGAACAAATAGGAGCGTGGTGGCGCAGAGGTTAAAGAAGGCAAGCCTGTGATCGGAAGGTCGCTGGTTCAACCTCCCAGGACCGACAACATCAAAGGGGGGTGGGAAAGGTGAGGCAGCCACACCTGCCTCCACCCTCATTTGCCCCACTCTGGGCCCTTAACCTCCACCATCTGCTCCTCCGGGCGCCGTAGATGGCAGCTCTGCTCCACACAGAGAGCGGTGGTAGCTCAGTGGTCTGTGGTTGTGTCAGGAAGGGCATCTGGCCTAAAAACAATTGCCAAGTCTGTGCAAGTTAGTTCGCTGTGGCGACCCCTGAAGAAGGGAGCAGCTGAAAGAAGAACAAAAAAGGGAATAAAGCTAAAAACATAAAGCGGAACCAAAACCTACCCAGAAACCAAGACCCTGCCATTTTCTGTTTTTTGTTTTCTGATTTTCTTGTTTCGTCGGTCGGTTCCATCTCTGATCAACCTGTTTGTTCACAGCGGCTACGAGTTCGAGTACGACTACTACAGAGACGATTTCTACAGCAGGTATGTCAACGATATTTTATTCTTTCTCCTCATTTCTGGTCTTCAGAAACGATTTTTAATGGAAATAGCCTCCATTTTCTCTCTCAGGTAAAGTAACCTGCGGAGGAATGAATCGGTCTCAATAATGACACTTTTACCTCCTGAATGTCAGAGTGTCCCCTGGCTGGACGTCTGTGCCAGTGAGACAGAGAGACATGGGGACGGGGGACTTCATTCTGACATTTTCACCAGCTTGTTTACTGCCTCTGCTCTGAGGAGAGAAAAACGTCTGTTTGAGTCATTATTTGGTCGTTAAACGTGTCTCAGCTGCAGCTTGTTCCTGTCGTCCATCTTCATAAACGTTTGTTTTTTATCTAACATTTAATTATCTGCTGGAAAAAGCTTGTTAGTGTTTATGATGTCATTTTAATGCCAATGTAAAATGGAGCTGGTAGCGATTTTTCTGAAAAATCTCAGAAATTCTAACAATATTTTTATATATTTACATAAAATATATAAATGGAATTAGCTGAAAAGTCATACATTTAGGAGAAAAACGCAGAATTTTCTGAGAATTAAACTTAAATCTAATTTCGCCATTGTATGGAAACATACAGTGTTGACATTGTGATGACATTATTATTATTATTAAATTTACTTTACAATCTCAGATATTGAGATTGTTCGATTATGAATTATACAAGACAAAATAGTAAAGTTGTATATAAAAAGAATATCAGCGTATAAATGTAAGTGTGACTCCTAAATTTATGAAAAATAGAGAAGTTTTTGGT